ATCTTCTGTTTGCATTCCACTTTTGAAGTACATACAATGAAGAGTTAACTGTCAGCTACAGAGTTAATTGTGTTCATAAGATAGTTTCATATATATATTGAGATTATATCCAACACTGATGAAATGTAACAGAAAATTGAAACAGAGATCTGGTACCAGAATTAAGGAAACAAGAGGGACAGGATATAGCATATATGTAATGTATGGAATGCCAAACTTTTGCCATGGCATGTATAGAACTGTCTCTCTAGCAAATAATGACAATTCCTTTTTTATTTTGTTCTCACAACTTGTAAACACAACTGTGTATTTTAGTACGCACTGCAGAATGGTAACTGGTGCAATTTTCCACCTATATTCAAAGCAATAAAAGTTTATGAAAAATTGCTGACTAGATGAAGAGACAAAGTGATCTACAAAGCTACTTATGACTATCTCAAATAAAAAGGTAGAGTTACCTTCTCATATTCTGGAGTTTAGTAAGGTTCATTTAGGTGACAGACTGTTGCCTTAAATGGATGATAAATAGAAGAAATGATCATCAGAAGTGAGAGGCATTTTAAGAAACCAATGAAGGCTTCTTAAGGAAGGAAGGACTTGGGGGTGTTGGTGGATAAAATCCTAAATATGACCCGGAAATGTGCACCCACAGCCCAGAAAGCCAACTGTATGCTGGGCTGCATAAAAAGAGGTGTGCCTAGGAAATCGAGAGGTGATTCTCCTCCTCTACTCCACTGCTGCTTGAGCAGGTCCAGAGTAGGCCCATGAAGATGGTCAGACAGCTGGAACACCTTCCCTGTAAAGACAGGCTGAGAGGGTTGCCACTGTTTAGCCTGGAGAACAGAAGGGTCCGGGGACACCTTATAGCAGCCTTGGGGTACCTGAATGGGGCCTATATAGAAGAAAGGGAAGGATTTTTTTATCAGGGAGTGTAGTGATAGGATGAGGGGTAACAGCTTATAAATTAAAAGCGGGTAGATTTAGATTAGATATTAGGATTAGATAGCCGGTATCTTTACTGTGAGTACTGTGAGGTACTGAGATACTGGAACAGGTTGCCCAGTGAAGTTGTGGATGCCCCATCCCTGGCAGTGTTCAAGGCCAGGGTGGATAGCTTTGAACAGCCTGGTCTAGTGGAAGGTGTCCTTGCTGATGGCAAGGGGGTTGGAACTGTAAGATCCTGTCCAACCCAAACTATTCTATGATTCTGTGAAGTATACCAAGACTTTATAGTCTGAAGAACTCATATCATATATTTAAAAATACCAAACACCGCCATTAAAGCCTGTATTTTCACATCTGTATTCTTGTCAGGTTCTATTTAAGCATTTCAAAGTAAAACTTTAGATTTAAAAATTATGAACATTTCAATATTATTTTTTTTGTGATCAGCATTTCTGAAGTAAAAGTATTAATTTTTAAAAGAATAATGTGAATTTACAAATCCGAGTTCAGACATACAGTTTTGCATATTTTGAATACAACCTCTGGGACCATGATTAATGAACAGAAGTTAAAGGCTCATGAGAGTTATCTATCTACTGAAAGAGCTGAAATGAAACTGGCTCCAATGAAAACACTAATTGGAAGTTCTATATGTGAAAGTTTTACTCTTGATTTTCGAGGATGAAATTCTGAAACATGTGTCTATGCTTCGATAGATAAACATTTCATAGAATCAAAGAATGATTAAGGTTGGAAGGGATCACAGAAGGCGAAACAATGCAAACTCCTTTGTTTAAAATCAAATTAGCTGTAAGATCACACATCTCCGCTTTCACATAATGCACAATTCTGCAATGGCCATCTCTGATTCCATGGTCTTCCTGGACAGGCTTCTACAACAACTGCTACCTATAAAACACCTGGAAGGAAAATTCTACTAGCATACAAAGAAGCTACAATAGTTTCTGAAGAGGATGATGTGATAAGAACACATTATGCAGCCTTTTCCATTGTTCATAGGACCTGCTATTAATTTAGAGGTGAAATTTAAATCTTTGTATGCTAACTATAAAGCCGAAATAGCTCAGGCTCCTGATCACCTTATGAAAACTGTGTTCTGTTCCCCTGGGTTACAGTGCGGTCTGAAGAGTTGGTGTAATACTTCAAGTAACAAAGAAAGAAAAGGGAGATGAGATGCTTATAGCAGTTTCTGCCAAGTAAAAGGGCACAGGAATCAGTTGGTTACTGCTGGATTTTACATAGAAAACAGCAGATGGCTGGTATCTATGAAGAAGATTGCTTATGTTATGCAGATATGAAAGATGCAAATATTTGGCAATTAAATATCAGACCTGCCTGGAGGAAAAAACTACCTCATATCTACTGATTACTCCATAGGATTAGGAGATGTGGAAAGATGCAGTGAAGAAAGCTCAAAAGGAACCAGACTTGTTTACAAATCTTCTACAGCTGAACAAGATGAAGTTAGAGAGACCAGAAAGTTTGGATAGTGACTTCCATTAGTAAGGAGAAATGCTAGGCCAGACGCATCCTCCATGTATACCCATGGCATTTCTGAAGACAGAAAGTGTTGAAACTCAAGCAGTCAGAAAAGGGTTTACCTACTGTCTGTCTTCACTGAAACTGTAGCCAGAAGATATTTCCTTTCTTATCTTGCTTCTCTGAGGTGAGTGTTGGTAAAGCAGTCCAGGAAAAAGAAAGGACAATAGGGATATGAGAGATGCATATACATATGGATGGGATTGCAAGGCTTTAACTACAGATATCTTCATTCATGGGGAGAAAACTACCTTTGCTTTTTGGTAGCAACAGCTAGAAAACTAAAAGAAGTATCTTCAAAGTCCCTAATGAAGATACAATTTGTTATTACAAATCAACTCCCAAATTCAAAATGCTAAATCTACTTTCTTCAATGTACAACGTAATAATTTGGGGTGACAAAGTTCTTGGGTAATATCTAAGACACGAAGACCCATGTAGAAGTTTGTGTAAAAGAAGAATTCGTAATTCATAACGTAATGTTTACTTTTTGCCAAGTTAAAAATGGCTTGTATTATACATTAAGCAAGACACAGGGTATTCTGACATTGGCCAATGGATTACTGCAAACTCTAACAACTAATCTAACGATTTCACTTATTGGTAAAAAGCCTGAATTTTAGATTCATTGAGTCAGTATTTATAATACATGAATGTATCATGAATAGATACCGCATCATTAAAAGAGAAGTTAAATAATTAATCGTGGCTAAAACTCCTCAACACATGTGCATGCATATCTACATCTATTTGCAGGCATGTAATTATGCACCTGTATGTATACAGGTAATAAATTTTGAAATGTTAAGATACAGACCTAGTCCTAAGTAATGGTCTTTCAAATTATACATTGTGTTTAGTCTGTGTCTTAACTTCACTAGCAGCAGCTCTGTTCAAACATGGAATTGTGTTTAAAAAAATCCAAACCAAACAACAAACCCCAAACCAAACAACTAACCCCCCCCCCAGCAATATTAAAAAAAAAAAACCAACAAAAACCCAAACAAAACAACTTTCCTTCCCCCACTTCAACAACTTAAAAAGAAAAAAAGCTTTCTAGAGACATATTGTGGACAAGCTATATCAACTTCAGATACCAGACAGGAAGTATTTAGGCATGTCACTAACCAGGTCTGTAATCCAGTTTCTCAAGATCTTACTAACTTGCCTAAAAATTAGCTTAATTTCACTGCAAAGGGGGAAAACACTTTTCATTGTAATAGAGGACCACTCATTTCCCACTGGGTTAAGATGTACTAGCATAAAATCTAACATTTTATGAGCAGAAAATTCATTCAAAATACAGATCACTTCATCTTTTTCTATCTCTGGCATAATCATTTTCATGTCTAAATAATTGAGAAACTAATCCTGTAAAATTGGGGCTTTTGGTTTTAGTATTTTCTTATCAACTATCTAGGCTATTTTTTATGTAGAAGTATGACATAGACAGAAAAAAAAAATACTAGAAATCATATACAATGGCTTATGCACAGTTTCATCCACCTAAAGCAGTCTGATAGTTCTGAACTCATCCTGTTTGAACACTTCTTCATATAAGCATTCTCTGTGTGTCACTATACACAAAGTAAGGTAATAGCATACAGTTATCAAATTACTTTATAGGACACTGAACCTTGCCAGCATAGAAGGACAAAACAATCTTTTCCCATATAGGACAGGTGAGAAAGTAAAATCTACCCTATATAGGATAGAAAGACAAGACAAAATTTTACTAGTGTTCACTCATTTCTTTCTTTATCTTTTTCTTATTCAATACAATGGAAAAATAATTTTAACTCCTTTATGACAGATATTTCACGTTCTCCTTACAGGGCATTTTTTTTTAATTAACATAATTAAAATTGTTTTGGAAAATGTAATGAACTACGGAATACTAGACTAATAATACCTTGCAAATATATTTTCCGTTGCCTGCAGATTTTGAAGGAAGTCAGTGTAAAAGAGGCAAAAAGATGCCAAAAATAATATAAAATGAAATTGTAGAAAACATCCCAAGTAAAAATCTCTGTATCTTCAAGTTCTTACAGGTAAGATTTTAAAGTGCCTAATATAGGGTCTAAAAAACCCAATTAAAATTTTTGGTTTTATTTTATATACATAAAAGTAGAAAACATTTAGTTAATCTGTGATTTTTGGCAATGCTAAAGATTTACAAAGTGGTTCATCATTTAAGATTAAAATTCAGTGATCTTCAGCTAAAACCTAGAAGTGTATTATCACCATATACAGTAAAGAGAAGCTTATGAAAAAACTCACATTTGAGTGTGGCACTGAAATTTATAAAATACTAACTAAAAGAACTGCTGAGAAACATTGAACATGTAAGTACAAGGAAAAAGAGGACCAGTAAATTACTAAAAGGTAAAATAACATTCTTTTAAAGAACATGTTACGTTGACCCCTTGCAGCCTTAAAGTTTTTAAGACTTCTAAGGAGCTGCTGTGACTCTTTATTCCCAACCAAAAACTCACTTGTTTGATGCGGTCTGGATTAACAGTGGTCTGAGGCTGTAGAATGCTGACAGGCTCTGTCTTGGCCACATTTTGAGGCATTTCTCGAATCTTCTCTGCAATGAAGCCATGAACCGCGTTTAGTGCTTCAACTGTCCCCTGGATCAGACACACCCGCTCTGTAGTACCTGCAAATACCAAAAGTTGATCTTAATAATGTTGATCTTCCAAGATCCCACAAACTGCTTTAATGATGGCATAAAAACGGCTCTAAAAATTGCAAAACCAACTAGCAACACCTCCATAAATACACAAATGAGAGATTTCCAAAAAATTATCTGAATGTACAGATGATCCGAAAATGTTTTAAACAACTCCTATTTGTGTAGATCCTACAAAAACATAACTTTCCAAGCCAATCTGGATAATTAAGTTAGACCTAAACAAACAACAACAAAAAAAAATCCACCAAAACTCCCAACATTAGGTTCTGCTGGAAATATTAGGAAGTATCATGAGATAAATCATGTTAATCTCATCTTTTGTATACTACCTCATAGAATTTCCGATTCTATGCAGATTACCAGCAAACATTAAATAACCTTCATAGCTTTAGTTATAGTTCTTTAGAAAGGCTGCACAAAATCACAGGCATTACACACGGATTAGAGAAATGTACCAGGGAGGTAACCTCCTCCATAAAATTCCCTTCCTATCAATTTTACATCTTTAGTAACATCTACGGTTATCAACTCAAGGTATGCTCCTTACAACACTCCAACATAGTCTTTAAAAGAGAATGGTACAGTAACCTTAGTCATCTGCAAGAAAAAATAATTTTTTATTAGTAAATGCTTTTCATCGGCTTCTGTGGATGATCTCTAAAGATTAAATATTTTATTACCTAAAGATGAAACAGTAGCCTAAGAGCCTTGTCTGCTCATTAACTTGATGTATTCATGTACACTTAAAATCTTTCAAAGACTTTTTTCTTAAGAAAGAGCATCAGGCAATTCTAAAATTCAATTTTGTGTAAGAAGCTCTACAGCAAAACTGACAGAATGACAAACAAACACTTTTCTCTATTAAAATATGTTATTTTAAAATAACTAAAAATAGGATTAAAATGTGTCAATATATTTCAAAAGCTGCCAGGTTAATAATCCAATAATCCTTGAGATAACATATAAAGTTAAAAAGGTTATATTCTTAAAATAAGTTATACAAGTATCAATCAAATACATATTTGCAACAGCAAGATTTTTAGAATGTTTATTTGACCTGTTATAGTGTCTTTTCAACAAATGAAGAAGGGGAGTTTGAATGCCATGAGGGTATGTCTCAGCAGAAAGTGAAACTTGGTTCCTAGACAAAGCTTTCTTAATGCTTCCCCCCCACCCCAACTTGGCTTCCTCCCTGTTTGCAAACAACTCCTGTGGTTTCTGTGTAAAGTAATCTAACTCTAAGAAAATGCTCTGGGGAGTCTTTACGCTGCAGTATTAATCGTCTCCTAAATGATGAGATGCGATGCGGATTGATCAATGCAGCTAATGCAAGTGTTCTCTTGGTCAGCAGACAACACACTGAAACAAAACACAGATCAGGTTACCTCCGAGCTACCAGAGCCTAATACAGAAAGCACTTTACAGGGATGACTACTGTCAAAACAGCTGAAAGGAAAACAGTGTCAAGCAGGAATTTCATTAGACTTGACACTAAGTGACTAAACGATATTCTACTATCTATGTGATTTTAGGAGGTGCAATGTAACAGAAATATGCTTTATGTCTTACTATGGATGAAACACACTATGTTTTCGTCTGTATAAACCAGGATGCCGTAAACTGAAATCACTGTTCCATGAAGATATGCAATTGTGCAAAAGCACATTTCACACAGAGTAAAATGCAGTTTTAAAGTGCATGACGATAGTAGCACCATTTCTTCAAGGGTTAGATCAACAAGAAAAAAGAAAATAAAGAGGAGAAATCATATACGCGTACAGCTGGGAATTGCTTTAATCTTCTGAAGTGATGTTGTTGTATTACTTCACACAACTCTAACAGCTTTTCACTCAGATAACAGAGTACAACAATTTACAAGAGTCACACAGAAGGAAAACTGCCAGCTATATATGACCAGCCCGTATAACAAAAATAAGCCTATGAATCACTAAAGTTGGTGAAATTTGTCATTTTAAAAGCTTTCAGGCTCCATTAGTGTCTAAAGTAAACTCTCAGATTATTTATCATGTTCAGTTGCTTAACAGCAGCATCTACTCTTCACATTTCTGTGAACAAAAGCTCAGCCATCTATATGCACGCTTCTGTCACATGATTTTGACTTCCAAGCTAGAATAATAAATAAAATTACGAGAATGTACTATAATAATCAATGCCTTTGGGGGGGGGTATATAATTATTATATGTTTTTAAATTATTTACAATTCAAATCAGAAACTAGGATCATGCATTGTACATTGTCTTTTACATGATAAAAAGATAAAACATGCAAAATGGAATAATTTCACTACGGAAAATTACCAGGTATAGAGTATGTGGTGATCATCCCTCTACATTCAAAAAAAGTTAAAAATACTTTTACGTATGTTTGATAACACTAACTCCCATGACAGAAGTTTTCATGTAGTCACACAACAGCAAAACAACTATCTAAATACATGACAGTGATGTTGCTATAGTAATTTCATATTAACTTTTTTTAGGAGCCCAAGTAAATTGCTCAGTATTTGTATGTGGTCTAATTTTCAGCAACTAAAATGTGGTTTCTTTCCTCTTTCATCAGAATTAAAATTTAATTTATATGTGTGTGTTTTAACTTTTTCTCACCAAAAAAAAGAGGCAAAATGTAAATTGCGCAAAGAAGTCTGCCTGTACTGCTCACGAAACCCAGATTTTTAAAACCAGTAAAGAAAAAAGAAATCTTAATCAGGTTTTTTTTGTTAGCTTTTAGCAGAAAATTTCTTTCAGACTAGTTTTTTGCTATGGAAATAAATATGCCATTATACAAAATACTCTTTCTCTGCAGTTCCTTGGGGGATGAGGGGGAATAGGGAGGGATACGAAACCATTAGCAGCCATCAACAATTTAAAAGTAAGTAAATAAAAACCTGCTTTGAAATCTAATAAGTTAGCTATGCCTAAATGCTTAACAGCTTGCAATAAGTTTATTTTTATAATTCATTTTTCCTTCCACCTACTTTAACTACCTAAATCTCTACTTCTGGCAAATATCCTTGGCAACTGCATCACACTAATTTCATCAAGAACTTCAAAACAATAGACCAGAAGCTTTTAAAACAACCATTAGAATAAATGCCAGAAGATGCAACAGGATAAAGGATGCTAATGCTTTCAATGTTCTTCTTCCTATATTTAATAGGCGTACATCTATATATGGTCACCATTAAACTTTTAGGTGTTTGCTTAAAGACTAAAGTCAATGTGTAAGAGTTCTACTGTATTCACAGAAACACTCATTAAATGTCGAGTATGTTTCTGTATTTTACGAACCTTTTAAGTTTTGGGGAACACACTATACCTTTCAGAAAGGACTGTCTAGAATTTATATCACTATATACTTTTCATTGGTCTTTTACATCAATCTTAAAAAGCATTTGAAAACCTTGAAAGCACAATGCATTACCAGCCCAAGGTAGTCCCAATACATCCAACTAATTAAATTTCCTTGTATTTCTCCAGGATACCAAGCCAATTTCTTTGACACTGAAAGGGAAAATCTGACAGAGGAGCCAAAGCTAAAATCTTAAATAAATGAAAGGTTGCACTACAATCTCTCATTAGCTGATCTGCATTAAGTTTTTCATCTGACAACTCACAGTATAGCAGTCTACTAACCCTAATGTCCTGTACATTTATTTTTGTCATCAAATATCTTGTAGAGTGGTATTCTATATAACACTGTTAGCAACTGCTTCAGCCTAAAACTTATCTTGCAAAAGCTCTTGGTAACACAGGACTGCACTTTGACACCATGACAAAAGGTACACAACCTTAAACAGCAAGACATAAGAACATCCCACAGATGTGCAGTCTCATAGAAATCACAAGACAGTTTTCTCCTTCAGTCATTATCTTCCCCCTGGTCTTTAACCTTTGTTTCTTGAGAGAATTAATTGGTCTTCATATAGAACCTCTTCCCATATTCATCAAAGATAGAAAGATGTCTCTCTCTCAAAACAAAGCCTGATGCTCTAATATATTTCCCAAACCGAAAGGAGAAACAAGGGCTGGTAGGAATTCTAAAGCACTGATGTTCTCCATTTGTTTTTATCCAGACAAAATAATTTTGGAACTGTTTGCACAGAAGACTTAAGCAAATAGGGAGTAAAATTTAACCTTTCCCAATTAAAATTAAAACAACATTTTTAATAGCAATTAAAATGGCTGAATAAAAGAAGAAAATATTGAAGATTGGAATCTATGGAAGAGAGTATCTCCCTGAAAGAATTTATTCATATCTCTGTTACAAAACCAGGATATCCTTGACTTTGATTTTAAATTTCATGATTATTAACTGGATGCATCTAGCTTCACTAAAGCTCCATTCTTCTTTCAGAAAGAAATAAACCATTCCCATTAAAGTTTCATACGCAATTGCTCCTAAAATTCTAACTATTAACATTTTCTGCAGCTACATTATACTTCACATAAGTCAAGCATGTAATAAAAGCAGAAGGTCAGAATAAGTTGTCTATTTCTTGAAACATGCTAGCAGATGTCATGATTACCAAGAATGTGCATATATGCATGTGACTTGCTGAAATCTGAAAAAATACATGTTAGAACCTGGGGTTCTCTAACATCAGTCCTCAAGCATTTTCTGATCAGGTGCTCACAGGAAGCCTTACTAGCTTTAGCAGAAGAAACTGACTGCTGAACTCATACTGTAACACATCTGTTAGGTGTTGCATACAGATAGCAATGCACATATATGTGTATATACATACATATTCATACCCACATACATACCAATTTGCTTTAACTGAATATGTGACTCTTTCACTAGAATTCAGATATTGTATTGAATCAAGTTTAAAAATTTCTGTAAAATGCATGAACTGTTCAAGTCCTCAGAGTTTTATGAAACCTTCAAGTTTACAGTCCATTAAGCTCTGGTCACAAGAGTGAACTACATGAATCCAGCTT